AGAGAAAAAAAAGAAAAATAAAATACTATCGTTGTTTTTGTGTGCACTGAATAATTCATATGGAAATGAATTCACTCGTAAAAATTAAAAGCGGCGAAGTTTTGAAAATAAAAGTTGAATTAAATGACGATATAGCAATTAATATTTCATTCCACAATGATCACAGCATTTCCCAATCACATACCAAACTTAATCATCATATGATTAAGCGAAAAAGTCTTAGGGAAAGTTAAATGAATTGCTGTATTGTGGCTAATTTTAATCTCAAAATTTTATGCAAATTATCATTTTGGAAAAATTGTTGAAATAAAATAATTAACTTACAATCCTGATATTAACTAAGAGAATAATTTTGACATAATTATGACTAACTAAAGACCAAGAATGGGATGTTATAAGATGTATCGCTTAACAACAAATCATTAATGAGTCAATTTTGAGCGTCATCCTAATGAGCCATTGGAAAAATGATAACTCTTTTTTAAACAATGTTTAAGTTTAACAAAAGCTTTCATCTATTATACTTATTTCCCTTAAGGTTCTTTAACAATAAGTTTAAAAACTTAGACAAATTATGCAAATTTAATTTTAGTTATTTTATTATTAGATGAAGGATAGCATCTGTTTACAAACAAGCAGTCAACACAAATTTCATTTTTGTTCAAATAAGTTGATAATATAAAAGTAAACTTATGAAGAGCTTTTAATGATATCAAATTATTAAGAAAATTATACAGAAAAAAGGATTACAAATACACATTTGTTTCTCATTTGCTATTACGGTTTGATATTACATGAGGTCAATTTTGATGTCAATTTCGAAACATTGATGATAAAGGCTAAAGGTCATTTATTGTTGTTAAATATGGGATGGACATATTATCAGACAACAATATCATTAAATCATACCGAAAGTGGTGGTATCATTTATGAGTAAGATAAAATGGTACTACAACTGGTGAAACTATGAGGAAATATAATGATGACCCATAAATCAGTTAATGCATTCATTATTCAGGTACACATATCGTTAACAGTAAATAAAAACATGAAATGACATTACCCAATAGTGACCTTCAATGGACATCCCAAAGAGAAAGAGGGAGAGAGAGAGAGAGAGAAAGGGGAAGTATACAAATCTGCATAATATCATAAAATGCTCAAATGGACTAATTTGAAACTAATATTTCTGTGCGACGAAGAAGAAAAAGAGGGACGATTGGACAAGTTTATGATATAAAATTGGTCTCTGAATTTGTTATATGAATTTTCAGTCTAAAGAATGGCCTATTCTGATTGATAATGATAAGATGATGAAATATAAATTATTTATTATAATTAATAATTTAACAAATACAATTATAAATTTATAATGTGAGTCATATTATAATTAAACAATTAATATTAACACAATTAATATCATCTAACTGTAATTAAGTACAGTTCACAACTGTTATCCTGTATTGTAATAAAATAATAATAAAATGAAAATTTTAGAACAGATTTGACAATAAAATAATGGATTACATTAATCACACAATTCTAAAATAGTGGCATAATTGGAAAAGGTCAGGTAAATTAATAATTGAGAAATGCTAACATATATTATTAAGGCTTTTCCAACTTAAAATTTAAGCACATGCTAGCTTTAGCTGATGTAATGTTGATTGAAATACTGATAATGATAATACTTACATTTATTATTATTATTATTATTATTATTATTATTATTATTATTATTATTATTATTATTATTATTATTATTATATTGTTATTATTATTATTATTATTATTATTATTATTATT